GCAATGCAAAAAAGATTAAGATCCAAAGAATTAGCCATGTTCCCAAAAAGCAAAAAGCCATGCACATTAACTTAGCTTCTTGAGACAGAAATTATCCCATTCAGAGATAAGTGAGAAACAAGGAATTCTGACAAATATCCACTGGCTCTTGCTTCAAGTTCCCTTACAATTATAGTAAAATTTCAGAAAAATTTTCCATTCACTACCTCAAAAATCTGTCTTATTTTAATAAAATCCAATTTGAAATTATTACATTTAGTCATACAGTTCAATTGCCATCAAAGTGGAGATAAAACCTGGAAGCAAGACAAATTGAAAATTCTCTAGCATCCTGAGAAAGAAATGAGAATACTAGAAAGACATGTGTTCCTTAAAAAGTCATTTGAAGCTGAAACTAAATGTAAGCTATAGTTAGGGCTTATTTGTTGATTTCAACACAATTGAATTCTCAAAAGCACCGAACTGTGTAAAAACTCATTTACTGAAGTTACATTATTTGTTCATAGTTGTTAATACATTATGTTTACTCTATTTAAAGATGACCTGAAAGAAAGTTCATAATTAAGTAGTAGCAGAATGATATCACTAATCTTTTTGTTATTGAATTTCTAGGATATAATAGTAAAGAATCAACTTTAAAACAAATCAAGATTAAAAACATAATTTTCTGTGTGCATTTGGAATAAGAAAAATAGGTAAATTTGTGATGTGGCACAAATTGAACTGAGTAAATCAAGTTTTCTAGTGACAAAGGTTGTAAAAATTCTAGATTTTCAAGGATGAAATGAAATAACCCATGCGATATAGGTGGCAACACAGCTTCAGGCTAAGTGGCTCACATGGGCAAGGCCGTATTCCTGCAACAGAAAACACGGGCCTCCACATGATCTTTCAAGTGAGAAGAGTTTCATATTATGGTAAAGGCCATAGTTGGCAAACTCCAAATACAAATGAAGCTAGTATTTGATGTTAATGCTTCAGTTAATAAAGGAAAGAATCCAGGGGCATTGAACATTGGCCTATTTAAAAGGTCAAATAAGCATGGTTGCAGAATCCTACAAAGCATTTCTTCTTCCATGAAGTTCAAAGCAATGGGAGCAATTCTGAGTAAACAGAATGAGAGAAAAATAGTTTACCACTTACAGTTTTGTGGGGAATTACGATTACAACTCTGGAATTGTATGCATAAAAGTCAATAGAAAGTGAACAGTTTAAGGAGTCACACATTCTTTTCCATCTCTTCCTCACACAATTTCAAGTGATTCTGCTCTACCCTCCCATTTTGGAGTTCCAAGAACTTCCTGAAAATACTGTTCTTGCTGAATAGTTCCGGCAAGGAATTCTAATATGTTGAACAACGGTGGTGAGAGTGTACATCCTTGACCAGTCCCAGATCTTTGTGGAAAAGCTTCCAGTCTTTCCCCAGTTAATATGATGTTGGCGTTGGCTTTTTTAATGTATTGCTTTGGTTATGTTACGGAATATTTCCTTTTTTGCTCTGAAAACTGACCTGCCAAATTATTCAGTTACCCCACTAGTGGGAACATATTCAAAGGAAATGAAGTTTGCATATGAGAAATGGGTCTGTAATCCTATATTTACAGCACAATCTACACTAGCAAAGTTATGGAGACAACCCAGATGCCCATCAAAGGAGAATGGATAAAGAAATGGCGGTACATCAAAACTGTGCCATTAAATAGGGTGAAAGTCTACCATTTACAACCAAATATTCCCAGCTAGAGATGATTATGCTCAATGAAATAAGTCAATCCTATAAGTTCAGATGTTATATGTTCTCTCTGACATAAGGCCAACTTCATGCAAAATTCAAGATCAATAGCATTTTCAAGAATACTGTTGTGCTATATCTCAGGGATTTTGATATTTTCGTTTTTAATTTTATTTATTCAGAATTTTTTCTGTTATTAATTTCCTCACTGACTCAAGGTCACAAAGCAGCATTTTTTGCTTCAACAAGGTTTCTTATTTTATCATTTGTTCAATGAGACATTGTCATTCAGTAGCATGTTATTTAATATCATGTTTTTGTTACTTTTCAATATTTTCTTCCTGTTGCAGATTTTGTTTTATAGCTTCTCATTTGAGGAAGTGTATAGTAACTTTGTAATAAAGACTATTATATCTAGATGTGAAGATTTAGTGCAGTATAAATCTCCTATTTTCAAATCAAAGATGTACTCTCAATGAGACTGTTAAATATAGTTTGACAACAGGAAGCTGGACTCTGCCATTATCCAAACCTACCATGTCAGAATACACCTACATAGAGGAGTGATGTATGTATGACTATTTATGAAGGACTTGACTATTATAAAAATATAGGGAAATCAATGTGTGGTTGTGTGTGGATGTTTAGAGAGGGAGAAGGGAAATCCCATAGTCTATATGACTGTATCATAAAACAATAAAAATACAAACTTAAAAGGAATTAATATTTGTTGAGGGAGGTACCACTTGCTCTCAAAGGACTGAATTGAGTAAACTGAGTTGAATGAACACAGAACCTCCCCTCAGTGCTTTACCTCTGAGCTCAGACATATGCTCACTCGCTTCCCTGCATACACTTCACTGTGCTATGCCATCCTAGGGGACTTCTCCAGAAGCTGGTGGAGCCCAGTACTATTCTCTTGAAACTTTAGAACTATATAATGAATATTTTATTTTTTTAAGATTCATTTATTTTTATTGGAAAGTCAGATTTACAAAAAGGAGGGAAAAAATAGAAATATTTTCCATTCATTCATTAACTCTGCAAGTGGCTACGATGGTTGGAGCTGACCAATCCCAGGCCAGGAGCCCAGAGCCTCTTCTGGTTCTCCTAAGCAGGTGCAGGGTCCCAAGGCTTTTGGTGGTCCTGGACTGCTTTCTGAGGTCTCAAACAGGGAGCATGGTGGGAAACGGGGCGTCTGGGACATGAACCTATACCCATATGGGATCCCAGTGCATGCAAAGAGAGGACTTTTGCGACTGAGTTACCATGCTGGGCCTCATTGGCCAACACCACATATTGACTAACTGACTGGCACCCAGCAATTCTGCTATGCGATCAATTAAATATTTTCCACTACAATAAAGTCAGAAGAAGTTTGATCAAAAAAGGTTTTATTGTTATTCCATCCAAGTTTTTTTCTGGAAAAAATTAAATAAAAAGAGATGAATACATGATTTCTGTTTGTTTTATTTTTTCCATTGTACATAGTAACAGGTCTGGCTCTATAGACAGGGACACCTGTTTCTTATTCTTACGTGCTTTAAAAAATTCTGCTGACTTACATATTGTTAGTGCTGAAATTAATCCAAGGGCCCAACATCAACACATGGTAATTATAGTGTTAGGAAATCATAACAGAATCACTTGGAGCAGTGAAAGATCAACTTGTAAGAGTTCCTGAAATCAGATAAATGAGGAGTACACAATCTCCTTTCAATAACCACAAAGACTACAATCTACAAGAACACACTGTTCACTGATCAAACCATTTTTCTGTAAGCATATTTTGTTCTTTGTTAAAATTATTCAACTTCCATAAATGTGTTTTCAATATTTTCATAGGAGTCTGCTGCACCGAATCAAGACTCCCTTATGAAATTGTGGAATATGGAAGTAGTTTTACCCACTATGCCACAATGACTGTCCCATAGTTAAGCATTTAAAAGACACTTTATTTTACTATCCATTTCATTAAATAATATAAATTTGAAACACCAGATTTCTCTAGTTTCTATGTAATTTTGAATCTAACTCTCAGAGAATATTCTGTACACAAATGCCTGCCACTGTAAGCTGAAAAAAATCTTTATGAATATCAATTAATTCTATTCTGTGCAATTGTAACAGTAGTCCTGTTATGATTTTAAGCCATATTTGTTGTAATCTATTGTGAAAATTTCAGTGAAGCTTTTCTGCATACCCAATTACAGCATTAACTATTCCAAATGCTTTTGATAATTATGGGGGTTTTTTTGTGTGTTATGTCAGACAGATAGGTAGAATGATGACCCCAAGATAGATTACATGTATTGATCCAATTTGGAAGCTAGAAATGTGCAACCTCAATGTTTGTTTCCTATTCTAAACGTATATTTAAGTACACTTGAATCATTACACAATAAAATTCTAAAATAAAAACTTTGTTATCAGTTACTTTTGATTTATTAATGAATACAGAATTGTTATTTTGAACCTCAGAACATCTTTTCAATGTCTTTGATTATTCATGAAAAGCTAGAAGATTTATAATGGGTTTCACTTAACTAGAAAGGTAACATACAACAGAAGTGTGTGTGTGTGTGTGTATACAGCTAAAGCATATTAGCCTTCTGAATATAAAACTTCATTAGTAACAATTTTTGTGGCACCATGTTTCAATAGTCAGGACACACTAAGAATTACAAGATATACTAGTAAATATACAGAGATTTATATTTTGAATGCAAAAACCTAACTAAACCAACCAATTGTCAAAAGTTACATATTGGGTGAAAGAGATGCCTATTGGTTCTAACAGAATGAAAGAAAGAATTAAGAATAAGTCTAAAATGGAGAACAAAGCATTTGGTGAAGAATATTTTGAATATGCAGCAAGATTAAGTCTAAAATCAAAAACTAACAAAAATTAAATTGAAGGTTATTAGGGAAATATAGTAATTATCTTAATAAGATATGGGAAAATAAGACTGACCTGCATGCATTGATAAAGGAGAGCAAGTTAAGAGCCCTCACCCAGGAGTGTGCTGAGGCGCACTTTTAGTGTGAACTACAGGAAAAACTCACACACATTTTGTGCTTGTAAAAGACTTTTTAGCTTTGTTGCTTTCTTAGTCGGTAAACGGTGCTTTAATGTAACCAGATGTTCTACACTCTCCAGTTTGCACACGTGTTATCTCACATTCAGAGTAGATTTTGTCTCTTCTTAGGAAAATGGCATTCTAATGGATAATAGACTGATAACTTAAGGTATCACTCTTGATTACAGCAGGAAGTAATTTGTCGCCAAAGTACAGATTTGAAAGATGCCAAAAAGTGAAAGGAATAAGCAAACCATTTTGTGACGATGTTGAGTACGATTATGGATACTGCATTAAATGGAGAAACCAGTGCTGCATATAAACCCTGGAATACGGATGTCACATTGAGCATCAAACCTGGAGCAGAGATGCATCTTACTCAAGAGTAGATAAAAACAAAGTGCTTATAAGCTTTAATGGTAATATGATGTGAAATCATAAATATGTCTACTTATGTACCAAGACATTTAGTCTATTATGTTCACTGGGCATTTTTGCATTTCAGATGAATGAGCACTTTGTCACCCAATGTCTCCTGTGGCTATTTAGGATACTCTGTTCCCTCTCTAAATATTTATATATGATTCTATTGCCAGCTTTACTTTAAGGATCGTAGTCATCTTCACATACTTTTGATTGCTCACAGATATTATTCTGTTCCCTGCCAATCACCTTCCTTTACAGAAAATGCTCATGTCTTTTCTTCTAAAACCTGGTTTAACTGCTGAATTGTGGCATAGACTTAGATAATTACACTTTTTCAGAAGACATAATTTTTAGATTTTTAAAATAAATGTTCATGATGAGGTTCCATAGATATAGGAAATTTCCATTTTTCATGGTTTCCCCATAGTTTTCCTTGATATTATTATGATGGTATATTGCCTCAGCAACAGTTACACGCCCAACATTCTGCTACTGGAATTTATCACGGTCTCGAATGTATGGTAACAGTAAAAAGTCCAGGAACCTATTGAGATGACATAATTTTAATGATGTTTTCCCAGCAAAATAATTAGAAACTATTCATATTCACAACACAGCAAAGGTTAAATGAAGTTTGCCACATGGAATATGTGGTTTAAAGGAAACCACAGAGGAAACTCAATAGCAGCTATCCTAGTCCTACCAACATAAGAGAACTGGCTTCTGAACAGATCAGACTTTTGCCTTTAGAGAATGGGAGGAAGATAAAGTTAGAGAGGGTGAGAGAGCGAGAGAGAGATCTTTGCCCCCTGGTCATGGTTCACTCCTCAAAAGCTCCCAACAGCTGGGGCTGAGCTAGGCTGAGATCACGGATCAAGAAACTCACTGTAGGCTTCCACAGAGATGGTAGTGACCCTAGTAAGTAACGTATCACCTGCTGCCCCTCAGTGTGGGCATAGAGGAAGTTGAATTAGGAGCAGATGAGGGATTCAAACCCAGGCACTACGATACTACGATATGGGAAACACAATCAACGCAGCAACCTCACCCACAGTGCTGTAGTGTGCTTCGCATCCTCTGTTACTTAAATATCTACAGAATATCTTCAATTTTTCATCTTGAACAGCAAGGCCTGAGAAACTGTCCGTAAAAGAGAACATTTGTCAAACTCAACATAGAAATAAACATTCAAGGCTTCAAGAATATAGAAAAAGATCCCTAAAGCAACAATCTTAGCATTACTTGAGAATTTGCTAAATATGTTAATTGATAGGGCTCAGAATCACTGAAGAAAAAAATTGTGGCCTATAATCTTTACTTAACTTGCCTTCTGTTTGGTTGCATTGAGCCAAAATCGCTAGGTATTAGTTACTTAGAAATGCTCTTAACAGTTTGAATGCTTGAACTATAGTCATAGTGCCTTAATTTTTTTTTCTAATTTAGGATTACATTTTAAAGACATCTTGACAATATTAACAAAATACACTCAGTAAGGAGAGGAAAGAGAGGTATTCCAATGATTCTTTAAAATGACTATGGCCTGTGGGCCCCGTGCGGTGGCCTAGTATCTAAAGTCCTCACTGTGAATGGGCCAAGGGAGATGCATGGATTGATGGTCCAAATGTAGAAATCCATGATCAGGGAAAAATGATTCAATCACTCACCCACATTGTGTTTGCTATATTGCCACAGGCATATCTGGATTGTGGGAACAGAGTTTTAAAACCACTTAACATGTGCTAAATGAAGCCTAAAGATTCAGAATGTACTTCCCAGAGAATTATTAACAATCTTAATGTTTAAAACTAATCAGCCTTGCATAGTAGTATTCGACATGTCTTTGCTGTTTAAAGTAGCATAGTGTAGTTCCAATGAAAATTTGGAAAACTAGGTTGTGGTAATGTATACATATGTCATATCCTAAATTCTGCAGTTTCATGCTTACAATTCCATCATTTCTCATTATATGAAATTCCGCCTGTCATTGAAATTTGTATTTCTCTCACATGTCTTATTTTGATATATATTTCTTCAAGTAATTATAATACATGGATTGGAAAAAATTTTAGCTGTTACCTAGGGGAGTATCAAGATGGCAGAACAGGGTATGGACACGTTTAAATGGACAAAGAATCATTAGTCAGTGTGAATCAGAGAGGGCACATTCCAGGAAATAGAAGACAGAACAACAGCAAAGGGGGAACCCAGAGGATGATAGACACAGGAAAGCAGAGAAAACAATGGTATTTATTGCAGTGACTGATACCCTAGCAACATTCCCTAGCAGCAGCAATCTGAATTGCGCAAACAGCTAGAATTCTTTCAGCACCAAGGTGGGAAGGGATGTTCTCTTGGGGTTCAGGAGGTGAACCCAGAGAAAGAACTGCCAGTCCTACTGGTCTGTTTGATTTGATCAGGAGGAGCAACAGAATGGCAGATTCCAGATGGGCAGTGTAGGAACAGGGTGGATTTCATAGTTCAGTCTGCCCCCTTAGAACCGTATGGGGCACCATTTTGTATATGAAGACAAAGGATATGGATACTACTGAGCATGTACTGAGCTGGGAGCAAACTCATTTCTGGCTCAGTGAACTGAAACAATGTGGCATCTTACAGGTTCCACCCAAGACAACCCTGGTAGTCCTCAGGTCTCATGGTCAGCAGATCTAGAACTGTAGCAGTGGCACATCAGGAGCCATTTTGTACAGTGTGGCAAAGAATTTTAGACTGCTGCAGATAACAGTGAGCTGCACATGCACTGAACTCAGCAGGAAACCACTGAGCTCAGTGCATTGCACTGGTCCTACAGGAAAACAATACCTACTATGGCATTGTTCGGGTCAAAATAGGTCCATGTAGCCCTCAGACCTAATGGCCAAAAGGTTCCAGCAAGATCAGCACCACCAACAACATAGCTATATAGGACACCTGGTGTCTCCCTAATCCTGGGACCTACTTCAACCAGAAGTGGAAGAAAGGTAGTATAGACAATGGTGCAGCCTCAGCACAGTATCACAGGAGGTGGAGACTGGTGAGCCAGGAGGTTGAACAATAAAGACCAATGTGGAAATCTATCATAAGACCCCAGAGCTGGAACTCACTGGCGGGAGTAGAACAAGTGACTGCAAACAAAGAGCCATGTAACCCCCACCCCACACACCCCTCAACCACATATTTATTTTTCCACATCTCAACTCCACATCCCCCCCATCCTCCTCCCAATCACTTCCTACAAACCATCTCCCTCATATAAACTCCTCCCATACTCACCCCCATCCCCTCCCCCCCCCCTCTTTCCCCCTTCCCCCCATCCATAACCATCCTCAACCCCATCCCCTTTCCCCACCCCAAATCCCCAACCTTAAACCCATTCTCACCTCCAACCACTCAATTTTTCACCCTCCAACCCCCCCAACACCCCCAACAACTCCCCTCCCCACCCATTTCTAACCCTTCCAAATACCCCCTTACAACTCCGACCCCCCACCCCATCACTTATAACACCCCCATCCTCCCCCTATTTCCCCTACCACTACCCTATTTCTCACCCCCACCCACTCAATCCTTCTTCTAACAACCACCCCCCACTCCTAACCCACCCCTACCCCCACCCCCACTACTCACAAAAAATACCCCCTTCTTCCAACCCCCCCCTCTTCCTCCTTATTTACCTCACCCCCCTACAACCCCTCCCAATCCCTCCCCCCCACAACCCTTCCCCCACCCCTCTAACCCTTCAACATCCTTATCCCCCCTAATCACCCCTAATCCAAACATCACACCACCCTCACCCACAAAACCCACAACAAATCCCACACAATTCACCACCACTTAATTCCCTCCAACCCCACATTCAATCCCCCATACCACAAACCCCCTCCACCACCAACACCACAACAACAACTCCCCACCTTCCCATCACCAACCCATACAACATCCCCCCAACATACCACACAACCCCCAACCCCCCACTTCTCAACCCCTCCCCCCACCCATTCCCTCCCCTCCATTCTCACACACAACCTCAACACAACTCCCCACCAAAATTCCCATCAACCCAACCCCTCCCCCAAACAAAATAAAATCCAATCCACCCAACCAACCCCCCACCCTCCAAACCCCTCAAATCCAAACCCCCCACCCCCACCAACCCCAACACACCCAACCCCCATAAAAAACCCTATCCCTTCATACCCACCCACCCCCCCCCTCCCCATATCCTCCCCAACACTACCAAACCCCCCCTCATCCAACAACCAAAAAACCCCCCAATCACCCAATCCCTGTACCAACATTACAACACTTTCATATTAACTCTGAATGTAAACAGATTTAATTCATCAATTAAATGTCATAGATTGGTAGACTGGATTAACAAACAATCTATATGTTGCCTACAGGAGACACATTTCACTAACAAAATCAGTGGAAGCTATATCATGGATTTTTATTTTTTGTTAGTTTCATGTTTTCTAAACACATTCTCATTACATACTTTAGTGATTCATATATCATGCAGTAGATTCATTTTCTTTCAAGAAGCTTTTTGATTTCCTTTTTCATTTCTTCAGCAACACATTAGTTATTCAGTAGAATGTTATTTAACCTAATGGTATTGTTAATTACTTTTTTCTTTTGTAGTTGATTTTTTTTCTGTCTTTTCTTATAAGGGGATATATAGTAGCTGGGTAGTAGAGACTATCATGTCTAGTAGCAAGTTATTTAACTTCATGGCATTGTGACTTTCTATTTTTCTTCTTCTTGTTGATTTTATATTGTGGCTTTTCACTTAAGGGGAAATATAGTAACTGTGTAGTGGAGCCTAGCATATCCCTGTGTGAAGATACAATGTAGTATGCATTTCTACTTCCAGATCAAAGATGGACTCACAATGAAACTGTTTACTATATCTTGACAATACAGTGCTAGACTCTCTCCATTGTCCGTGCCCACAATGATGGACATATGAGTGTCTATGAAGAACTATACTATAGTAATTATATGGGGGGGGGGACAAGGAAGGGGGATAATTTGGAAGGGGATAAGGGAAATCTCAGGGCCTATGAAATTGTGTCATAAAATTATGATGATGATAACGATAATAATAAGTAAAATTTAAAAAACACAAATATCTGACAAAAAAGTAATATAAATGTTCCTTTTGGGTTAGTGTGCATGATGTAAGTAAATAAAGAACTGATCTGGAGTAGTAGCCTAGTGGCTAAAGTCCTCATCTTGAATGTGCTGGGAGCCCATATGGACACCATTTCTAATTCCAGTGATCCTGCTTTCCATCCAGCTCTCTCCTTGTGGCCTGGGAAAGCAGTCAATGACAGCCCAAAGCCTTGGGATCCTGTCCCCTATGGCAGACCTGAACGAGCTCCTGGCTCCCAGCTTCAAACCAACGCAGTCCTGAATGTTGTAGTCACTTAGGAATAGAATCAATGGGCGGAAGATCTTCCTCTCTGTCTCTCCTCCTCTCCGTATGCCTGAGTGTTTGATAAAAATAAAGTAAATCTTTTTCGAGAAAATAAAGAGCCAGAAAACTGGCATCATGAAAAATGAGAATAAGTCAGAAGAATATTACCTTACTTGGAATTATGAACATTAAGAGCAAGCAATATTTTAAACAATAATTGATGGCTTAAGATTAAGGGCAAAGCTAATCCTTGAACCTTTATCTTTTATCAATGAACGTCGAGTGCAATGTTTACTGAAAGTCACTCAGCTTTATCAATACAGGCAGTAATATTTCTATATTACATTCTCTTATTCAGCATTTTGTTCCCATTTTGCTGGGAACATACCTGAAGAGAACTCTTTCTCCTCCTAAGTCTGTCTCCTCTGTAAAATGCCCTTCATGTGTCCCTGCATTTTTTCCCAAGTTCAACCACAGCAAACGCAGATAGGGAAGACTGATGAAACAACAGTAGTCACTGCCACAATGCCCTTTGACGTTGTCAGCACAGCCTACTTAGACAATGAACGCTGGCTCTGCATGCAGTGTGCTTCACAAACAAGGAACGTTTACACGCTCAGGTGCATCATCAGGGAACTTGAAGGAGGCGGATCACCTCAAATGCATTCCATATATATTATATTAAAACCTGAACATTTTAACATTCACATTCCAAAAAAGACTGATTCACAACAGACTTCAGGAAGTTTTTTTTTCTTTTTTTTCTTTTAAAAATGAGACATCAGAGCTCCCTCTCCAAAGCAATCTACCTCTTGTCTCACTCTCCTTTTTTCTCTGTCTTCTTTCTTATTGCTTCTTCATGCAAATTTTCTTGTCAACATCATTATTTTCTAAAACTTTTATTTAACCAGATTTAAGAAGGACATGCGTGTCATAAAAATGTACTCCATTTTCAACTATACACTATTTACAAAATTAAAATTTTAAATGATGGTCATTATAATAATTTACCCTAGGATGGCTTACTCAGTATATACCATCAAAAAGTGGCAAGCACACCCTGATGTTTATGAGATGCCATCTCCTTTCAAATCACAAAGTTAAAACAGCACAAATGCTAGGAAATATTAAAAAACAATGTGTAAAATAAGCATTTTAAGTGACTATAAATTGAAATAGGTGTTGACAAGAAAATTTGCATGAAGAAGCAATATAAAAACAAGTGAGTTATAATATATATTTATCTGGGAAACCATATTTTCTTTATGATAGGGATTCATTTGGGTTTTCAAAAACTGTCCCAGTTTATTTATTTATTTATTATTTTTGGTGTGTAATCCTAATGTTTTACAGTGAAGGCTCTGCAATGGTCTAATTTAGTTCACATCTCACCATATACCAGTAAAATGACTAGCTTATAAACATTACTTAAATTTTCTTGATTCAGATCCCAAGATTTATCAAATTTTATTTTCTCTATCAAAAAATAATTTATCTTTACATACGCTGCTTTTCTGCTAGGAATGATCGAATCTCATGGTTGATAATATGGAATGTAAAGAATGGAAGCTAATTAGTCCCTTAAAATCAGTTCTTTTATTAATTTGAAAAACAGACATAGAAGTAAGAAGAGACAGAAGTAGAAGAAAGAACTCTCCCTACGTTTTGTTCATTTCCCAAATCTGCAGCACTGGAGGTGGCCAGTCCTGAATCAAAAATTATCAGATCCTTCCAGGTCTCTGACATGATTCGCAGGGACACAGGTGCTTGAGTTCCATGCTACTGCCTTCCCAGGCACAATAGCAGGGAGTTGGGTTATAAGCATAATAGGACTCAAACTGGATCTCTGACACAGAAACTAGGTGTCCAAAGCATTCCCACCCCATCCCACAGATTATAATTTCTATTATAGAGTGAAGATGCTAGCATTTAAAAAAAATGTTTTATGTATTTTTGTTGGAATGGTAGATCTACAGAGTGGGTAAGAGACATAAAGAAAACGTTTCAATCTGGTGGTTCACACCTAAAAAGTGGCAATGACTAAAGTGAGCAGATGTGAAGCCAGGAGCCGGGAACCTCCTCCAGCTTTAAGCCATCCACCGTTACTTTCCCTGTTCACAATCAGGGAGCTGGATGGGAAATTGAGCAGCCAAGACACAAACTCGTACCCATTGGACTCCCAGTACTTGATAGGAGAGCCTTTAGCCATTGAGCTATTGTACTAGCACAAAAATGCTAATTAATGAGACAATACAGGTACCTATTATACAGTATTTCTATTTACAGAAAAGTAAAGCACAAGAGGCAATATCTGACTTATTTCATATGTGTGGAGAATGACTTGAAACAATGGAAACTGTGGACGTGAAGAGTGGTAAGTAAGGTGGTTAACTCTGTCACCACATAATCAAGGATTCACTCTGAGCTTTTGCTTCTGTTTTTTAGATTTATTTTTATTGTTAAGGTAGATTTACAGAGAGGAGAGACAGAGAGAAAGATTTTGTACCTGTTGGTTCACTCCCCAAGTGGCTGCAATGGCCAGACTGAGCTGATCTGAAGCTAGGAGACAGGGAGCATTCTCTAAGTCTCCCACACAAGTGCAGAGTCCCCAGAATCACGCCTTGTTCTGCTGCTTTCTTGCCACAAGCAGAAAGCTGGATGGAAAGTAAAGCAGCATGGCAAAGAACACATGTCCATGCAGGATGCTGGTGCCAGAAAATTGAGCCAACATGCTACCTAGCATTCAGGTTCATCAGTAACTACATAATCCTTCCATGTTACAGACCTTGAAACAAGATTGAACAGTCAAATTACTTGAAGTAATTAGAACAGAACCTGGCACATAATAAATGCTCAAGAAAGCATCACTGAATGTATCAATGATACTGATTGACCTTTCTTTTTTTCTTTTTTTTCATATTCCAGCTTGGCAGGAATAGGGTGGAAGTGGTGGGAGAAGAAGGGGAAAGCGAGGAGGGGAAAGAATACCGGAAGAGAGAGAGAGCGCATGAGCCACACCTTGGGGCCCTTTTTGTCTGCAAGGTGTGGGGGTGGGGATTGGGAGGGATTGAGGGTAGGCTCCAGGGGATTGGCAGCTGCAGGTGAATGCCTAGGAATGATTGGTGAGTAGGCAGGGTTGGGGAAGGGGCTGGAAGATTGGGGGTGGGATTCTCAGGAGGAAGGCCAGGTTACATCTGATTGGTGGATGGCTAGACCAGCGCGAATTTCGTGAGCTGTGAGGAAGAAGAAATGGCACTGGGTCCAAGGTGAGATATTCGAATAACTCTTACATTCCTCCCTTTTATTATATATAAAGGAAGAGGGGCATTGTTCTCTATCGCTTCTAGGAGCTGCTTTCTATTGGCAGTGGTTGCAGCCTGGTGGGAGGAATGGGAGATGGAGTGACACTTCTAGTCCTGCAAAAGAAACTGTCTAATAGTTTGATTAAAAACTTTTACATTCCAGTGGATGGGAATGGAGGGAAGGTTTATTAAGAGTCCTTTTGAAAAGGTGGCTTGAGTTCATTTTCTCTTAGCCAGACCTTCTTGTACTTGATTCTTCATTACTCCTGAATGGTCAATTTAGACAGGGTAGCTTCACCAGGAACTAGAGACCCTAACTGCCAATCATCCTATCTAATTCCTCACATTTCCAAACAGAGGAGTGAACAGGGAAAAAGGGACGATAACCGCTCTAGCTTCTTCGAGCTGAAAGGGACCGTTGCTGAGTAACCACAGCAGAAGAGGGTTCTAGAGGTTCTTTGTAGAAGGTAGAAGTCATTAGCTGTCTGAAGTACTGCCTGGCACTTGAAGGCGTCTTTTTGTTGAAGTCAAGATAGCAAAACATGTCGTAATTATAATTGTTCCCAACCTAGCAGGTCATGAATTCAGTTAGAAAACCAGTTGGAATACTTGGGCTTTCAAGCTTAGATGTAAAAGAATTGTCAGGTTTCAAACTTTGTCAGATTAACATTAGTTTAAAATGATGGACTAGATTTATATCAGCTTAACTTAACTACTTGAAGTCCCACATTTTGAAACATACCAAAATGAATGCAATGGAACACATGAATCCTTTTTGGTTGTATGAAATTGTTATCTGAAACCATAAAATGATTAGTGTGTGGCATCAGAATAAAAACCCATCACAGGACAGGAAAATGCAAGCTAACTTCTTGACTAACTTTAACAATTATTGCATTTGACTTGTGAAAACACTATCATGGTTTTGAATCTAGCTAGGAAGCTGGCAAGTGCTAGATTTTCTTTAAAATTATACTTTACCAATCGTTGCAATCCCTAAGAGTTTCAGGAAGACATTTATAGCCTAGAACGTAAAGCACAGCACTCAAAACATTCTGTTACAAGACTTACTAGTAACACTGTAGATGGCACAAGATTTAAACTTGTTTTCATTTACAATAACCCAGCAGTTTATAGTATTCCAACAAGATTTTATAGAACTTTATACACTTTAAGGCAGAGGCAAGCAATCTACTAATTTATAGGCTAACACGCCATGTACTGGCAATTGAAGAACACAGGAATCTTAAGTAGACAAGCTGAGAAATCACAAATAACTTGGCAAATCATGAGCAAGACATGAAATCTGCCTTAGGGCAGTGAGAGTATCCTACCTCAGTGAAGTCTGGCAAAAACTGAAGAGGGAGATGGCAAGCATGCCCTATCAGGAGCCTGGTAAACTAACCTTTCCCTTGACAATCTTTTCTGAGCTTCTAGATTAGTGTGTCACATAAGTTGATTTGGGGCTCTTGAGAGACCCTGATGGTCACCCTAAGAGAGGAAAAAAGCCAAAGCTAGCTGGGACAGAGAAGACAGTGTCCAGATGGAAACTTAGTTTTCCCTTTCACAGCAAGAAGTACCAAGGGCTCTTGGGTGCTGTTCTGAGATGTCACTGAAGTCCATGGATGGCCTTGAACCTGTGCAGGTCCCCGGGCTGCTTCTGTCCCATGTGGAAGATCCAATAGGAAATGACTAATCTGAAGTACTTGGCCTTCAGGGGCAGTCATATCTCCAATGACCTCTTTGGTAGTTGGGACATGGTCCTGAGTGTTCTTTCTTATGATCCTTGGCAAAGTGTCAGTTACTTCTGCAATGAAGAGCACTTGGGAGTCCTCTGGGTGTCTCACTGGAATCAGGAGCACACACCTCTCTTATCCTGCTTTGCTATGGGATCCCCTCCTGGTCTCTGAGGTAAAACACCATGGTGACCCTTTTAAGCAAGTTTCAGGGAACTTTCAGGTCCCATTTATAAGTTTCTAAAGCTCTTTCCTAATGTCCAGGGCAGTTAAGAATCTGTTATCTAAACATCACCTATTCTTCCCTACATAGAGTCTAATGGAATATACTTAAAGTCATTCCTCAATCATTTTAAGAAGCTGGAGGATTTCTCTGTGGCCCTAATCTCAAAGATTTCTTGAAATCAAAATTAAAAAATTTAGCTTAGCTATAAGACAGTTAAAATAGACTACATAGTTTGCCACATAAACATGTAAATGCATACCAGGTAATTTATATTATAAAACCAAACAACTTTTGTAATAGCTTTTGAAAAACAAGTTTAAAGTGTTAAAAAATTTTTAAAGTTACCAGTTATTCAAATTACATCTTGTTCTTAGTAACCTGAATTAAAGATGCTTTCAGTTGAAACTTGTCCACACCTTCCACATACTTTAACCTGGAAATATCTTGTAAAACAAGCACATAGGTTTGTTTTATGCTTTGGAGTAATTTAACAGGGGGTTAGGACAACTTTATTCTAGAGTATATATATATATAACTGTTACAATACATTAAGTTACAGAACAAGTTGCATTTTTGTCCTTTTTTTCTCTTTTTCTCCTTTTTTCTTTTTTAACATTAAATCACTTATCTCTTACTCCATCCCTCTCAGCTAAGAGGTGGGAGAGAAAGCTAGAGAAATGTAGGCCCTTAGGGTGGCTGGGTGTGGTCAAATCAAAAGAAACTGGGAGAGCAAGTTAGGCCAAGGGTTAAAACAGAAAAAAACTTCAAACAGGAAATCTTTGTCTGCTACCCAGTGAGGAGGGTAAATGGAGACATTCAGAGGGGCATGTAAGGGAGAGAAAAGGCAAGATGGCAGACAGAGGAATAGGGTGGGAGCTGAGACTGCAGATGGAGCAGGATAAGATGGGGGTTTGTTAGAAAGATGACAGAAGAGATGGGGAAAGCACGTGGCACCAGAGCCTTGGAAGAGGGTGCTGGGGTTTCCTACTTCATGGCTAGAAAACTATAGAAAACACAGACAGAAAGTTGAGAGAGAAGAGGGAATGAGACCACCCCCTCTGTTTTTCCAAATGCATGAAGTAATCAGCTAGATTCCAGAGGATGTCTAGATCCATAGTGCCATTAACGGGCCACTTGGAGTGGTTAGCTAGGGAAGACTGGGGCCAAACTGTATTGCAGAGGCATATTAGTTTATATTTTAGGTAATGAGCCAATTCAAGGGTTTCTAAATTTGCTAGAAGACAGCCCAATGGGGTGTTGGGAGGAACTGGTGATGAAAAAATAGCTCCCATGGTTAAAACTCAGGACTAATTACCACAGTGGAACCGGTGGTCCGGGATAATTACCCAGTGGTCGGACCCAGTGGTCAGGAGAAAATGACTCTCGTAGAAGGTCATCACCCTCTATGTAAGGGACAAGCCAGGTCCCAAAACACCGCCTGTATCCAAAGTCATTAACAGCCCAACACCTGATTCGGAGGTACAGGGGGCCCCTGCAGCCCAGTGATCGGGGAATTTCCAGCCAAGCAACTAAGAGACACAGCACTTGGCCAGGGTTTGCAAGTTTACAGAACCAGTCTCCTAAAAAACTCCCCAAAGTGGAAAATCAGACCTAGTTGGAGGAGCGCAAATGTGCCAAGCCACACCAAAAACTCCAAGGGCTGAGCGAGGGAACCCTACCTACAACAGTGTATGCATGGAACAACTTAGCATTCAGAAAGATGGGGATTACCTGGTGTGCTCCATGTGGAGATGGAGTACTAGGAACACATGTCGGGCTATGTCATTGCTGGATGGAGGCAGATGATAGCACAGTCAGGTCAGATGAATTCAGGAATGGTCACATGGAGGTGGAGAATTCTGGATCTAGCAGGTGAAGGCGAAGTCAGGAACAGGCTGTTGGAGATGAATTCATGAACCAGAAGGAGGATGGAGAGGGATTCTGATTCTCCATGGCGCAAAATGAAGACAGTTAACACAGATCACAGTCTTTATGGTTCGGGTCCTGTTAGTGGCTCAAGACCCGAAGGCCATGCAGCCAAGTGACAGAGGAAACTAACCAGCCACAGCACCAAATGTTACTTATTTAAACCAGTTCGAATTCTAGTTCATAGGATATTACAATATTATTACGCGCAGCTATTTCCTGCAACCTGGTTCTTTACCGTGAGCTGAAAACATCAGACGCAATAAGGTATCTTAGGAGGTTTATTCCAGCGGGGCAGGAATGGGGTAGGGGTGGTGGAAGGAAAAGGGGGAAGGGGAAAAGTGGAAGGGAGGCCAGAAGGAGAAGAGAGAGAGCGATTGTGCTTTCAATTAGATAGTAACTAAGAATACTTGCAGTCCATTTGTTCCTGAAAATGAGTTCATGTATAACTCATGGAAACCACAATGTGACTAGTCCTTCTATTACACTTTTGTCTGTTTCACAATACTAAGAGGAATATGTGCTCAATCTGGAAAGGCAACATTCTGCAGAATTATAATCACCCTGAAAAGGCTATAAAAACTAGAGTTCATTTTTTATTGAAGACATTTAGAGCTTTGTTCCAACTCTGTTCCAGTATTTCCACCAACAATGAAGATACTTTACATTTTTATGATCTTCATCTTCACCTTCACTGTATCTTGTGGTCCTGCAGGTAATACTTAGTGGCATGGGAAAGGTGTTAAGGGCAAAATGTTTTTGTAGCTATTTTATTCTAAAAAAAAAATTTAGTTATTTTTAAGGAGATTTTATAGGAAAATACTCATGAGATGAATCTCTCTGTCTCATGGAAGAAGTGAAAAGAACCGACAGTTGATAAAACAGTCGGGCTAGTCCCCTCAAGATGTAGCATTTAAAATATTCATTGGTTAATTATGTTGTGAGTCAAGAGTTCCCTATCACTTTCTCTTTAAAAATACAATGTGGTGAGCTGATAGCTGTTGTCAAAAATTCAATTGAGAGTTGTTGTCAAGATCAAGCCTTTACAAAACTAGCAGTGGGAGAATTACAAGGAAACAAATTGGAGGGGAACATTTATTTAGGACACAAAGCATTTACACTGATTCTTTTATATAATATTTATTCTTGAGAAAACATGTAAATGATATATTTCAGGATGTTTTACTTCTTGAAGCAATTAAAATTTTAAAATGCTATGACAAATGAAATACTGTAAACAAATATTATCTGTATTAGATCAAATATTATCTGTATAGATACTTAAGGTATTAGCCTGGGTGCAATTGCATGAATTAGATTATGTCAGTAAAAGTTTTATCAATCATCAGCATATGGTTGGATTTATGATCACAATTTGTTTTCCTCAGGCCAACATAAAGAAACAGACGAAGCTTTATACAGAAAGCGAGAATGTTACCTTGTTCGTGGTATGTGCAAGAAAGTGTGTAACAACTGGGAATACGTATTTAATTATTGTGAATCTACGCCCTGCTGTGTGGTACGGGAATATATAAAGCCTCCACAATTCAATAAAACCAGTACAAATTAAGAAGATGCAAATTAAATTCCAGTACTTAGTAACACTTATCAGTATGCTTGTCCTATTTGGGATTGTAACATTCCTAAATCTTCTGTCATACATACAAGTTACTTTTTCACAAATAAATATATGTGCAATTTCAGAAGACAGTATTGAGAATCGTAATCACCCTGAAAAGGCTGTAAAAAACCAATGTCCATCTTTTTTTACTAAAGGCGCTTCAATAAAAATGATTTTTTACTCTGTACCAATTTGCTTGTAAATGAGTGCCTCTGTCTTATACATCTATATTACCAATAGTAAGTTCACTATTGAGTTAGAGTGAGGGAAATAAAGAAGAATGCATGGTAGTCTCATTAAGATGGCAGCAGTGTTTCTGCAGTGATGTGAGAGAGGACTACCACCCTTTATATTTGTCTTCATTTGGGATCTATTTATTCACCTTGTGGAGAGGTTGTTTTGGCTATGAATAGTCTGTCACAGCTAAGGCTATATTTCCATAGTTTTACATAATTGTTTAGGTTTTGGACATATGTGAACATAAAGTATAAAGTATACAGATATCCACATATATATGTAGAAATAGGTGTCTTAATCATAAAAAGACAATGTTCTAAAATAATTACATTAAACAATAAGCAAAACTGAAGAAGTGAAAGACATTAAAAATCTCACCTACATAAAAGTACAACAAGAAAATAGAAAGAAAACACTCTAAAACTCAGGCATGGTACTTAATTTTTAAAATGATGTATTTATTTATTTGAAAGGCAGAGTTATAGAGAGAGGAAAGAAAGAAAGAGAAAATTTTTCACACACTGGTTTGCTTCCCAAGTGGCCATAATTGCCAGAGCTGGACCAGGCTGAAATCTGAGCCAGGAAATTCATCCAGGATTCCTAAGTGGGTAATGGGAGCCCAGGTGCTGGAGTAGTCTTTGAGTGCTTTTCTCCAGGCCATCACCAGGGAGCTGGACCACAAGAGACAATGTGGGGGCAAATGGAGGGAAGGGGAAGGGGAATGGGGAGAGGAGAGGAGTGAAGAATATTTATATCTACAAGTATGAAAATAATAACAATAAAATAAGAAATAACAAAAGGATGTGGAAGCAGCTAGGTTATGAATAAATGCCCACAAGGAATGCCAATAGTGGCTTTACTCATTAAACCACAATACTGGAACTAAGAATGAGTATTTTTAAATGATGGGTTCATGATTTTTCTATTTTCTGTTTTTATAATACAATATTTTGTGCAAACAAAATAAAGATAATGTGAAAAACATGTAAGAATACATCTTTTTCTTAATGCAATATTGGAAATGCCCAAAGATACAAAAAAGTCTTTTAATTTTGCATCCAGAGCAATCGTACCTTAACACAGGCTGAGAATCCAAGGATCTATTCTCACCAATTTTACTTAAATTCTATCATTGTATAATTTAATATTCAATGTTTCTTTCCTTTTCTTTCTCTTCAGTGTACTTGTGTTTCCAAACTCACATTCTACGCCAACTTTTATCATAATCATGAATTAATCTTAACATGAACATTTCTACACATTATGAAGCCTCAGTAAAAGTTTTACTCGTAATATTTAAATGTAGCCACCAAGTATGTTTCTTCCTTACATTGTATTATACTGTTCTAAACAATATAAAATTGTAGAGTAGAATTATGGCTTATGAGAAATTAAAGAAATTCAGTGAATTGAAGGTCTATGAGGCATTTTTACTTGGATATTTAACGTGATCACTAAAAGGAAAATATATTAAATTTAGATTTACAGAGTAACATCTGTGTATGTTAAGATTTGATATTGTTGATATATATTGTGCGAAGTACAGGAAATAAAAATATGCACAATGCGGAGGCATTATCTAAAGCAATAAGACAAACATACCCAAAGAAATCACAAAGACAAAGAATAAAATGTCTAAAATCCTAAGGAGTCACAATTAATGTACATGAAGAAAAAAATGAACCCCACAAACAAGTTGAGAACATGATAATCAGTGGAATTTAACTGTAGATTAAAATTTCCTGAATTAGCTGTCACACATACTAGGAAATAGATAACCCATGCTACTGTTTTTGTTTGGTTTTTTGTTTGTTCCATACAATCCATGAACATTATAAAATATGTTTGTGCTTTGTAATTCAACACAATTCAAACTAAGTTTTTAAAAGAGAATCAAAAAATTAAAAAGCCCATGGAAAATTGAAGTTTTTTGTGTAAGTTATATTTTTCAGAATTTTGCATTTCATTAAATTTTTGAAGACCCTTTGTAATTCTAGAATAATGAAATACATACCCTAAGCAATCATCACTTTCAGAAAAACAATTGTTTGTGTTACCTTCAAGGTGGGTGCCAGGTATGCCTTTTATTGAGTCATGGGGTCCAGTATAACCTGGTTGCCTTGCCTAGTTCCCATGCCAGCCAGTGTGATGGGTGCCCCTGAGCCTCGAAGCAGGGGTACACAAGTACTGTGGGGCCTATGTCCATTGGCCCACCTGCAAGGTGGGTGCTGTGTCTGTGAGCCCCAGGTTTTGGTGCTTCAGTGGGGTCTGGGTCGCCTTGCCAAGTCATTGGTCCACCTGTAAAAAATGGTCCTCCTCAGTGGACAAGATGGAGTAGTGAGCAGAAGGCCCAGATCAACATGAAGAATCTAGCAGCCCACTTAGCCCTGCAACTTAAATCTGATATGATAGCAGAGGTAGGAGTACAGAATAAATTGGACAACTATTGTAGCCAAATGATGACAGCAAATATCAGTGAATGGAGAATCCGAGGTCGACAATATCAGCCAATGAAAATTGAAAGGATTCTTCATCATTGGATTGGTTAGATCAACATTTTAAAACTATTGAAACCAGCAGGGCAAAATCCCTGAAGCGTACATCACATTGGGACCCTAGGTTGATATCAGGTGGCTATTCCTCATCCCTGGATATTAGGGCAGTTGGGAGGTTGGGTATGACATCTCCCTTTATATCCCTACCCCACCCAAGAAACAAGAAGGAGAAACAGAAAATTTGGAAAAAAATAATCACACCCATTTTTCAGTAACCCTTGATTCATCCAACTCTTATCAACTATATTAACAATTTTTAAAAAGTCCAACAAATAGGATGAAAAGAAGATAACCAGGGGAATTTAACTGAAGATCCTTATTTCCCAGTTACTGTCACACATACCAGGAAATACATAACCCATCCTATTATTTGTGTAATGTTTTTTGTTCCACACAACCTTGAACATTATATATATACATGTATTTTTTTTTAATTCAAACTATATTGGGCCCAGAGTGATGGCCTAGGAGCTGAAATCTTCGCCTTGCACACACCAGTATTTCATATGGGTACCGGTTCTAATCATGGTGGCCCAACTTCCCATCCAGCTCCCTGCTTGTGGCCTTAGGACTCTGCACCTGTGTGGGAGACCTGGAAGAGGATCCAGGATCCTGGCTTTGGATCAGCTCAGCTCCGACCATTGCAGTACTTGGGGACTGAGTCATCGGACAGAAGATTTTTCTCTCTGTCTCTCCTTTTCTCTGTATGTCTGACGTTGCAATAAAAGCAAAAACAAACAAACAGAAGAAAAAAAAAAAAACCTCAAAGTTTTTAGTAAAAATATATAACTTTAAAAAGTTGATGGGAAACTGAGTTTTTTTCTTACAGAAATTATATTTTCAGAATGTTTGTATTTCAGGAAATTCTTGAAGACCTGTTGTAACTCAATATTGCAATAAAATTTTCCAAATCAACTGTTTAAGATCTCTGCAAGTTAATCAGACTTAGACATAAATCCAGGTGTTTTATCTTAAATAAAAGTAGAAGTTTTACATAAGATTTATGTTTATGTTTTGTCATTGAGTGTCCTCAATCGTACATGTATAGTGTAATTTCAATTTAGGGGAAACATCTATAACAAAATTTTAAAATATCTTATTGATAAAAAGATACAAACTACTTTTTGAGCTTTAAGTATATGTAAGTTACCATTTATAATTTTGAGGACAATACTGTCAAACAGAAAATAACAATTTCTTTCTCCTAACTATATCTTTAATGGTTTTGAGCTCTAGCAATGGCCATTTCAGTCTCAACATGTGTGGACTTAATGTTATTTCAAATTCTGCTTACTAATGGAAATCATACAATTAAGGTTCTTTGATTGTTATGCTTCTCTCATTTTACTTAACATGTTTTCACAAATAATGGCATCTTATTCCTTATTACTATTAGAGCTTAGCATCTACCCAGTGTATATTTATTATATTTCATTCACTTATTATCTGTTTTGTGTTATTTCTACAGTTTAGCTGTTATGAATAATGCTGCAATAAACCTGTCTTTCCAATAACAAGTGAAGCAATTTTTCTTTGTTGTAACTTTTGCTTTTCTATTTCCTTTGATTGTATAATTTTCATTGTTTCTATTTCTATAACATGAACACATTTCACATGTATCTCAATGCACATTTGGGAGCTCAGTGAGACCTCTATCACACCCTCCCTTCCTCCTGTATTCCCCAACCAATTCCCTCTTTCCTCATATCTTTGTTTTCAATAATAGCATACTTTCACTGCACTTTCCAATCACAGTTTGAACATTCTATTAAAGATATCAACAAGTAGAAAATACCAATAAAAAATAATTAAAAATCTCCTACTATTCCTCAGTACTAAAATCAAAGCTATACGGAATAATCAAATCTCAGAATGTCAGTCTCTCAATCTCTCTCCTATAGATTACATTGTTTTATACTCTGTGTGTTACCACATACAATAGAAAAACACATAATTTTTTTTTTTTCTTTTTGGAACTGGCTTAAAGTTTACTAAAAATAACGGGGCCCAGTTGGGTCCATTCAGTAGCAAAAGACAAGATTTATTATTGTTATTGTTATTATAATTACATTTTAATGGATGAGTAATACATGCTATATATATTATACTTATGTGTATATGTTTTATATATGTCATGTACATATATTATATTTCCTC